TGTAGGCGCAGGCGTCCTGTGGCTGGCCACAGTGACAGGCAAATCGGAAACCGGATGCCACTAACCACATACATAACCGTCTGTCGGTAAATATATAAATTATTTATTTATTTATTTTATCAGGCACAGGTATTGTGCCATCGGAATCATGGCAGAACAAGAAAACAGGATATGAATAAGAAGAAGAACGTGCAGCATTATATTCAGTAGTTTTTTATTCACAGTTTCTGAGTCATTTTAATTGTTTGTATGATTGGGGAAGGGAAATCACCGAAACACGCAGATATACACGTTCGCCATTGACGTCGGTCGTGAGCCATGATTTCTAGGGCTCCAACCACCGGCACTCTGCAATCCCAACCAGGGAGTCGAGAACAACCGACCGAGGGCAGAATAAGCTGCGAAGGCAGCGATGGTCGAAAGTAGCTAGACTCTTTAGGTCAGTCGACCTGATGGGCGAGATTGCACAACCGTACAAGAAGGTTGAGCGGACGGCTGCATTAGAAACTCTGTCCTTCAGGGCCACAGTGGTGTCGAGCCGGCACCACAGATGGCGGAGGTTAGCAAAAGCACCTAGAGCTTTTGTTATACGGCTAGTTACTTCATCTCCGATCCCACCGGCGCAAACATAGCCGGCCAGATAATTGAATTCCTGAACGGCTTCTAGCTGATCACCACGAAAGGGAGTAGATCCATGCCAATCTTGGAGAAGGACTTCGCCTTCGAGGTAGAAAAGTATAGCCTAGAACAATCGGCAGCCAGTGCTAACCTGTCCATTGTCGCTTGGCACGTTTGGACGCTGTCACATATGAGGACAACGTCATAAGTAGACTCAAAGTCAAGAAGTCGTGCACCAGGAAGAAGTTTCACACCTTGTAGGTCGTGTACAGCGACCGTCGCTTCCATGACTTCGTCAATAGCAAAGTTAAAGAGGAAAGGTGACAGCAGGCATGCTTGTCTCACACCACTGAAAATACTGAAAGACGGCGACATTTCGCCATAAACACTCAGTCTGTCTAAACTATGCGTGTACAGCGCTCTGATAATGTTTACGTTATTTCCGGGCACACCTTTCCTGACTGTCCCAAAGGGCGCATCGATCCAACAAATCGAAGGAACCTTTGATGTCGATAAACACGACTACAGTGAGTCGCCAATAAATACGGCGATGCTTCAACCATGGACGCAAAGTAAAGATGTGGTCGAGGCAGTCACGATTTCAACAACACCCGGCCTCATCCTCGCGATTCTTTCACGAGTGCCAGTCAGTCTGTGGAGAACGACAGACGTAAGCAATTAAGATCAGACTAATCCCACTATGATCGCAACATTCCGAGCGGGAAGTTCCTTTGGAAACTGGGACTATGATGAAGCGGCTCCAATCAGTTGGGACAGCGACCTGCTTCCACAGCTTCACTAGTAACTGATGCAAATCATCTACAGGAGAAGGGCCTGAATTTGAAGAGGGCTGGAAAAAGGCGATCTGCTCCTGCGGCCTTATTCAATTTCAACAGTCTGATCTCAAGTTCGATTTCTATGTGTAGCAGCGGATCCAGTAGGATGGCCCAAGGAGTCGGGTGATCAATGGCCGGTGGAGAAGTCGACAACTCAGACTGATTAAACTGCTTCTTAAAGTATTCGACACAAAGCTCTGGACGTTTTGACAAGCTGTGGATCGGTTGTCCACTCTTGTCGCCTATGGTCGCGCTAACACCAGGTTTCCTGCTGCCTGTTTCCCGTATTAGACGCAATAACTTGCGATGGTTACCAACGGCAGCGGCTGCTTCCATTTCCGATGCATGATGAGACCATCAGGCTTATCGGTCCCCCTTCAGGCTAGCCCGCAAATTCGCAATGAGAATTTTGTAAGTCCCATTACGTGTGCTTCCAGACGGAATACATCGGCGAGCATCCAGAAGTTCAAAAGACTGTGTAGAGTCCCAACGTCCAGGTTGGCAATTTGATTTGCCGCATGAAGACATGTCAGTTGCTAATAACGTCTGGCGCATATGAAGCTAATGATCTTCAACGGTGTTCATCGGGCGCTTAATCAGCCCGGATGTCAGCGTACGTTGATACGCATTCAGAACACTGACTTCACCAGATGGCTCGTGTCTATGCGCATGCAGTGACGTCGCGAATGTCCGCCGAAACGCATCTGAACGTCGGGGCAAACAAGTGCGTGATCGGAGTCTATGTTCGTGTTCCAAATTAAGCGACAGTTTTGAACACAGCCTCTCCAGCCCCAATTGATCGCGGTGTGATAGATTTGCATTCATGGCTGGTCCGAGGCTAGTTGGTGTCAACTCAATCTACTGCGAGTGTTGTGTCCAAAATTAGTGCTCGTGAGAAAGAGTAGAGCATTATCAGAGGGGGGTGTAGCAGCCGCTCATCGTCATCGTTACGGGAGCCTACACCATGTTGACCGTCCAGATGAAGCTCATCAGAGGACAATTTTCTGACTTAGGCTTTCAGAGCACCAGCAAGCACCACAGTATCTGTACTTTTCCTGTAACGAAGGAGATCGTTAACTTGGTAATAGAATTCATTATTCACCGAATCAGGGCTACCGTTTATGAGCACGTCGGCCGCAATGAAAATAGGCACCGTTTGTTTCCGTGCGACTTCGAAGCTTAGAAGGGGTCAGCGAATCTAACGGCGCATACGTGGCTGTTGACCGGGATCCAATCGATCAGGCCAGGGACCTAAAACACTATCCAAGCTGACTTGACCGACATTTGAAGCAGCGTTATCCCCAGACAGGCGTAACGAGAATGTGCCGTCAGTGTAGCATGCGGGGATTGCAGGGTAAGCATGGAGCTCGGATCTTGCAGGCGCGTTACCGATAAGCAGCAAATATGGATTGATAGGGTATCTAGTGTTCGGGCAAGTGCTGCCTTTTGACCAATCTGCAACAAAGTGCGCACGTTGGGGCATGCCAGTCTTAGCGAGGATCGAGGACTCGAAAGAGAAACGGATGATCGAACGTTGTTTGTTTGGTTAAATATGGATTTATCGACTGGACTGGAGCGGCGCCCTGCGATCGCGTGCGAGTTGAAACTAGAAGACAAGTGACTATCGAAATAAGTCGGGGATGGCAAAGAAATGGGGATTGAAAACGGGGGGGACGAAAGTGAAGTTGGAGCGGGACAACAAAGATGAAAAGCCCAAGAGAGGGAATAAGAAGACGGGAAGGACTGAGCAGTAGCATCCAAATTCCTATCCAACCTGCTCGATGTGGCAGACAGGATGTCGTTTATTATCTTCTGCGACAGACAGGGCATCAAGGGATTGTTCAGAGAGAAAGTCGTGTTGTATAGTGTGGGCAGCATACTGTGAGATTGCCTAAGCCTAGAAAAGAGAACGTAGAACGTGCTCCAAGCAATGCAATTTATTCAGTGCCATCCATTGTTCTAAAAAATTAGCTAGGTTTCTATTGTCTACTACTCTCCTAAGCACATCATCGTTGCGGACATATTGAAGCCATACGACAACAGCAGTGATTCGCGGACAGCGATGATGAGACTTGAAGGCGGCTCAGATCTTCAGACCGAAGAGTTCAAGTTTTACTCGAATAGAGCAAGATGGCCCTCACTATGGTATTGTAAACACGGCCTTCCAGAAGGAAGTAAGCCCCTTCCTGTCGCCAAAGGTGTCGCAGATTCAAGAAGACAGTGTTGGCTTTCGAAATACGTGAACTGACTTCAGTTGCTATGAACCCAACGTTGCTGATACAGCCGTCAAGGTAAATGAATTGATCAACTACCTCAAATTCCTCGCGATCTAGGATCAAGGAATCATCAAGCTGCTGGTGGTCCTGCAGCAACACTACACAGACTGAAGGTGCGAAGCTCAAACCGAATAATGGGCCTATACTAGAGAGAATATTCAGGGTTGATTAGGCCGCCAGAAAATCGTTGAAAAGCAAGATAAGATCGTCCGCATAATCAAGAGTAACTAGATGGAAATTAGGTATTGCCCGCCCGAAAACATTGCACGGGCAACACTCAATTCCCATCTGCTTTGAATACGGTCCCAGTGATCGCAGTGACTAAGGTTCAGTTCAATGTGAATCGCAGTCCATTACATTGAGATTGCGCGTCGCAATCTAATCACACAACATGTAGTCCAAACTTGAATCTCCAAGATTAACTAGCTTTCTACGAGACAGCACCTCAACGCTTGCATAGTCAGGTTCCGCAAGGGAACACTCCAAGCTGGAGTCCAGGAGGAAGCTGAACAAAAATGGGGAAATTGGACAACCCTGACAAACGCCACTAGTTGCCGGAAAGATATCCGACAGGTCACCGTAGACCCTGACGCGGCCTGTCGTGTTCGAGTAAAAAGCACGCAAGAGGTTCATACACTTCATAGGAACACCGTTCCGCACAAGTATTTCGAACAGAATGGATCGATCGACCGTGTCGAACGCACAATGGAAGTGCAGGAACACAGCTATTGTCGGTCTGCGGTATGTGTGGCGCTGCTCTAGCACCTGCCGCAAAGTGAATATATGGTCTATACAGCTACATCCTGGGCGGAAACCTGCCTGCTCTTCCCTAATTCGGGATTCCCGTTTCGCAGTTAGGCGACGAGGCCTAGTGGATCGTGGGCAATTCAGTTCTGTTTTTGAAGCATAGTCTTGTTCATACAACACTGCTCCACCGAGTCCACTTAACTCCAGTAAATTTTTCCCACTATGCTAATCATGATGGAATGGGCATATGCTTGAGATAAGCAGGCATCAACGAACCTTTTCCACCTGGACACACACACCATCACTATCAGTAATTAATACATCATCTGACTAGCTGATAAACATCCACTGTGGTATTTTATGCTTATCGAAAATTCGGTAATTAATCGACCATGTATATCCAGGAGTCTCGTGCAATTCGAGAACAAACCATTTATTCAGATTGGGACCTGGGGTGATGGGACAGTTTGGGTGTTATTTCTATTAGGGTATTCTAAGAGGTCCATAATAAATGTGTTAATGGTCAGGGGTTGGACAATATTCCCAGATCATCTGTCGAGGGTAAAAGTTGGATAAAAAGCATTTAGGTGAAAGTGGCTTGCTGTGTGAACCGCTATCATGCGGCTTGGCCTCCGAAAAGAGTAGAGTTAAAAAGCCAATTATGTTCCTAGGCGCGCTTGCACAGACAAATCATAACCAGACGAAAAACCATTAAAACGAACCTAAGAACAAAATCCCATCGTGACTAGACTGGATCTTAACGCGAAGCGATGGTTCGCGTGCCTCAACGATCCATTGGGTTATGCTGGGTGGTGGTCCTGTACCTTCAGAGCCACTTTTACCAGATTCGCCAATGGTTAGAGGCCTGACAAACTCAGTATCCTGGACATCAAGGTTGGAGTGAGGGTGGCTCCATACTCCATAAAACGGGCTCTCCGTATTTCTGGGCCAAAACCCTGCTGCCTTGCGGTCAGGTTTTGATTCAAAGACTTTGGTTGAGAACCCTAACTGTTCACCTGTCTAGGCCTGGCCAGTGACAGTATCCTGTCCACGCAATACAACTTTATGTACTTTTTCAAGTAATCTTTTGATGCTCTGGCCGCCGCAGAGGACAATAAACGCCAACCTACCTGGTACATCGAGCAGGGTGGATAGGGGTTTGGATATTACTGTTTAAGCCTTCCCGTTTTGTTATCCCCTCTCTTGCGCTTTTTCCTCCTTATCGTCCCGTTCCCATTTCACTTTTATCCCCCTTGTTTTCAATCCCCCAATTCTTGGCCCTCAACATCTTTGTTCAGCAATCGATTATCTTCTAATTTTGAGTCACACGCAATCGCAGGGCGTCGCTCTAGTCCAGTTGACAAATCTATGTCTAGCCAAATGGACTGCGTCAGCTCATCTGCTTCTATTCGGAGCCCTCGGTCCTCCCTAAGTCTGGCACGCGTTAATGTGTGGACATTGTTGCAAATCGGTCAACAGACAGCACTTGCCCGGACACTGGAGACCACATCAATCGATATCTGCTGTTTGTCAGAAATTCGCCTGCAAAATTGGAGTTCGGTGATTACCCTGCGATCCCAAACGTGTGACACTGGCGGTATGTTCTCAATGCGTTTGTCTAGAGATGAAGCGGCTTCAAATGCCGATTAAGCCGGTGTGGGCATGACTCTTAGCGTCGGGCTGAATCAGTCCAAATGAATAGCCGGATGTGTGCTGTCAGATTGGTTGGTTCGTTCAGAGACGCGAAGTAGCGTGGGGAGAAACGGTGCTTGTTTGTCAGTTCGGCCTATGCGCCCACAAACTGCAATGCTGACTCGGTGAAAGACGACTTCTATAACCAATTAAACGCGCTCCTCCGTCACAGGAAAAGTACCGATACTGTGGTGCTTGCTGGTGATCTGAACGTCTAAGTCGGAAAAGTATGCCCTGATAAGATTCACCTGGGAGGTTAACACGGTGCAGGCGTCAGTAGTTATAATGGTGAGCGGTTGCTACACCTGTGTGAAGAAGCTCGTCACTTTCTCGCGAGCACTAACTTCCGACACAGCACCCGCAGAAGTGTGACTTGGCGCCCACCAGCCTTGGACAAACTATGGACGCAAATCGGTCACATCGCGATCAGTTACCGCTAGAGATGATGCGTTCAAAACTGTTGCTCAATTTGGAGCACAAGCATGGACTCTGACTGTGCACTTGTTTGCGCCGATCTCCAGGTGCGTTTTGGTGAACGTCCGCAATCGCGCTGTGAACACATGGATATCGGTAAGCTGGCGAAACCAGATGTGCTGTATGCGTATCAAAGTACGCTGGCATCCGGGCTGAACACAGTTGATCACTGGTCGCACATTTGCCAGACGTTATTAGCAGCAGGCATGTCTTCATGTGGCAAATCAAATTGCCAACCTAGACATTGGGTCTCTACACAGTCTCTGGAACTTCAGGATGCTCGGCGGCGTGTTCCAGCCGGAAGCGAATACAATGAGACTCGCAAAGGTCACAGGGCAAAACTACGTGCTAGCCTGAAGTGTGGTGGTCTAATTGTGCCTCGGAGATGAAAACAGCCGCTGCGCTTGATAACAATCGGAAGTTATTCGGTCTGATACGGGAAACGGGCAGCAGGAAGCCTGGTGTTAGCGAGACCATATGCGATGAGAGTGAACAGCCGATCCACAGTTTGTCAAAGCGCCTGGAGCGTTGACTGAACACTTAGAGAAGCAGTTTAATCAGTCAGAGTTGCTAGTTTCACCATCCGCCAATGAGCGCCCTACTTCCTAGACCGTCCCGTTGGATGCGCTCACACGCGTAGAAATCAAACGGGACATCAGATTGTTGAAAGTGAACAAGGTCGCCGGAGCAGATGTACTTCATCCAGCGCTCATCATATTTTAAGAGACTTGCTCTTTTGGAGGATTTACATAAGTTACTAGTGAATCT